AAGAAGTGCAAAATGGTAATATGCCAAGGAATTTTACTCCATTTTTCTACATTGGTTTCAATATGGTAATAATACTCTCGAATATCCTTAAAGCTCAAAAGGGCGTTCTTCCGGAACGAAGTGAGTATAAGGCTTCCCTTTATGGTAAAGTTAATACCATTGGACAATATAGGGCAGTGCCATGCCCCACAATCAGGTTGGATAAGCCTGAAAGGTTGTCAGGGGATGATTAGGTATGAAGTTAGCATAGAACCAGAGATCTAACTTCCCCACAAAACATACCTAAGCATGAGTTAATTGTAGTCACATGTGGTAATCTTTGTTAATTAACTCTTTTATTCGAGAATAATGGTGACATCCAAACACTAATCTTAAATCCGAGAACAAAATAAATTATTCACAAAATAAACCAAAAAAAAACAATGGGGTTCGGCCAATAAGCCGTCCATGTCAAATTTCGCTCTTCCAAATGTATTAGGTGGAGCAAAATGAGTCTCACAAATGGACTACGAGAATTGTACCTATTCATGGACGTAACAGTTTCAATTATGTTTTGCTTCAGGCAAAAATTCATCTTTGCATGATTTGAAACAGTCCAGAACGGATTTGAAGAGTCATGGAGTCCTCAGCAGGGAGGTACTTCCATTGGATATGCTTCAGGCATAATTCTTCGAATAAGGATCATGGCGGATGCTTATTCACGTCTTGTATCCACATAAAGTAGTTTACTATTCGAAACTTCCAAATCAGTGAAATCGAACTTGTTACGGTTCGACAATACGCTGAATGGAGGAAACAAGAATGTGATTGGTGTTTTAGGAAATAAAATTTCCATAAACAACAAATTTAGAACATTCAGGTTCTAAGACATGGTTTGGTTTAAACGGATTTAAGCATGGAGAACTTCGGGTCTCAACATGAGTGTTGCGCATTAAGAAACTTCAGGTTCATATGGCACTTTTCCGAAACTTGGGGTTCGGAAGTATGAATTTTAAGTTCATAATATCTGCAGACAAACATATATATATATATATGCAAGCAAATATACAACAAGGATATACAAAGATATAACTTCAGGTTTATAATTATAATTGAATTAATTTATTTGGACTTCGGGCCAAATTAAAATGTGGGTGAAAAAATATATAACCCATTGGGCCTAAAATAATTAGGCAAATAAAATTCGTGGCCCAAAATAAGTCCTCGAGTGGCTATATATAAATCTTGCAATGTGACATAAGCCCAAAATTGGGCTAGGTTTAGTCTCTGGCGGGGCTGCAGGCCCACGGGCAGGAGAGAAATAACTAAGGGGGGGTCACGGGTGAGCTGCAGGCTCACGGGGAATGGGTTGGGCTGCTGCTGGCAGGCCAAAAAAAATGTTTTTTTCTTTTCACACGGGCCGAGGAACTGGAGCCCAATAGGGCTCGGGTTGAAGAAAACCAGAACAACCCAGCGTCGCTGGGTGTCAGATTCGAATCGGGGGAACGCCGGTGTCGCTTCTGGCGACTGTCCTCGGGGTCTATGGCAATGCAAAGCTTGGGGGTTCAACTGGGGAACCCGAGTTGTAGACGGAAACTTTGGTTTCAACGTCAGAGGTCCGAGAACGATTGGGGTTCAAAGAACCCGTCGATGTTCATCGGGTTTCTGAAAAAAAACCCATCGTCTTCGACAATGGCGAGGTCCCAATCACAACTGCAGGTGTGATTGCCCAGCAATAACGGCGTTGAAGCCGTGGCCGACTTCGGGCGGCACCTTGTGTTAGGGTTTGATGCCGAAGGCGTTTTTCAGATGGAGCAAGGGTTTTGCTCCAGTGCTTTGCAATCTATAGTGGGCTCGTGTGAGCCCAGTATTGTTGGGGTCACGGGGAGGGAACCCTAGGGTTCTTGCAGCTTTTTGCATAATGCAAAGGCATGGGTTCGAAGAACCCTAATTTTCCCGTTTCCAAATTTTTTTTTTTTTTCAATTCAATTATATCCATAAATAATTCAATTGTATATATATTTCAATGAATCACGTATTTACTTTGATGCATATGCAAATAATAGTTTCAATACATGTACATATGTAAGATTCAATTCATGAAAAATATCAAATTCACATAATTGTAGCAATTTTGGTTATGAGGCATACACAATTTATGTAGAATCTAAAATACGTTAAACGTAAAGTTGGGTCATGCATCATGGTGAATGTTCATGCGATCAGGGCTTAAAAAATATCGAGTTAAAAACCGTTGTTTTGGAAGAACCTGATTGCGTGATGATATGAATGAACTGGTTTGATGCAGAAAAATTATTTCTTCAATTTCGGCTTTCATCTTCAAGCTTGTATCACTTTCAACATAAGAAGAAAAATAAATTGAATCAATAACAATATATGAATTCAATAAAATCAAGATTTAATCAATTAAAAATAATTGAAACATAATACTCCCCTGATTGTAGACGAATAAATTCTCTTTAAATTCTTCTAAGCACAGCGTGAAGAGCGTGCTGATAACGTGTTGTGGCCTATATTTAATAGATAGGTGCGGCAAAGAGAAGAAGAGAGAATGGAGAATAGGTTTGAGGAATTGTGTGTTAATTCCCCAGTCCTTGTGCCTTTATTTATAGTAATTAGGAGGAGAGAAACTTGCTCTCCAAGTAATACAAAGTATATTAGGAAAGATCTTCTAGATCCCAAAGGATTCCTATTTTATCTCTACTTAGGATTTACACAATCACATATTGATAAGAACATATGTCACAACACACCCCACATTTTTCAAATCTTATAACACTCATTTTTAATTTTCAGGGATTGAATCTAACCATTTGAACGTTTAGTTTGCCAAAAGATTTCAAATCAAAACTGAATCGATCTCAGATTTATTTCACAAGTCTTTAGACTTAGTCTTGAATAAGATAAATAAAGACTCTCTCTGCTAATGATCCAGGTGTAGAAGTTAATTAATAAATCAAAACTGAATCAGTCTCAGATTTCTTTAAATACATGCCATGTCTCACCTCATTTTCCACGGATCATCTCCCAGTGACAAGAAAAGAAAGAAGAAAAAAGAAAGAAAAACTCGCGATGAGAAACGTACGTCAATCAAACAGCAAAAGATTGAGAGTAGGAGTTTATGTGGAGAATGGCTATCCTCAATTTTGTAAAAGTAGTATATGACTAGCACTAATATGACTCATGTTACTGGACACTCATGATTAATATGAACCTTAAAAGATGAATATTAATATAGAAGTTTAAATAATGCATCTAACGCAAAATTAAATAATTATCGATGTCATCGAAATCACTAAAACAATGAAAAATATGAAGTCTTACCTCATGTGAAGCTTCCGAAACATCGATTTCATGTTCAATTCGTCAAAAACAATTTTTCTCAGTCAACATGTTTGTAGTTTCATTGGTTAGAGTTTTGTTCAACAATGCAGGATGTGAGGGTTTTGATAGTTGAGAAGATAAATAATACGCTAAAAGTGATTTGGGGTGTAATTATAAATTTATATATATATTTTTTAAACCTAATAAGGTCAAAATTGTCATTGCATAGTGGAGTAAATAAGTCATTTAATATTAAATTTTAATATGGGATGCATTCAACATTTTGTGGGGTGTTAATATAAAAAGCCTTTCTTTTTGGTTTTTATGGAATTGGCTTTTATGTATTTTGCGGAATTGGTTCACTTTAGCACTACTAATTTTATTGCGGGGAGAATGATTAGTGAAAAGCAAATTTCACATGGCAAAGACACAAGTTTCTTGTCATAAGTCTAAAATTACTTGTCACTGATTCAGTTCCATAAAGCTTAATTCGTCTCACTTAATCTTCAAAATTAACATAATAAGCTAGTATTTTCACTTTATGACAATCTTGCTCTCGTTTCCTTAAACATCTAGATGTCCATTAATTATAAAGAAAACCAACGAAAAGTCCAAATTTTTTTTAGTTTTAATGAAAAATGACAAATAAATGTGTACTGAATAGTACCATAGAAAAGTACAAATGTAGTTTTTAAGTTAACAGTACCAGAAGTGTTTTGTTAAAACTTCCTTAATTATATGCTAATAAAACTTGCTCTTCATCTTCAAATTGATCATAATCAAATATGGCTCTGTGAGTAATTAAGTAGTATAACTACAAGATGGTAAAGCATAATACATGGTAACTTCGGTAAATCTGGTGTCGGCAGGAGCATTTTCTTCTTCCGGCAGGAGCATTTTCTTCTTCTTTGTGTTGTATGGTCGGTAAATCTGGTGTCGGCAGGAGCATTTTCTTCTTCTTTGTGTTGTATGGCCCAAGTTGTTTCAGTGTCTTTTACTGTTTAAAATTGATTGTCTCTACATTACCTACAATGGCCTACAAAAAAATTGAACCAATCACGCTCACAAAATAACATCATCAGCATTGCAAGGGAAGTTGCTCGGTTGTTTACGAGTCACCTTTGCATCCGAAGTTTCATGTTTGGTTCGCCATCTCCAAACTCGATCGTATAAAGGAAAAAAGAAATTGTAGCAATAGTTTCTCAACTAAAAACTCATGATTATTGGTCTCTTAACTTCCCAAAATGTGTAGCTATAGTTATTTTTGTCAACTTCATCATAACTTTTGTCAAAACAAGTCAAGTTGAAAGAAACATTGCTACAATTGTATTAAAATTAAGAGATCATTGCTTCAATTGGGTTAAAATTGAGAAACCATTTCTACAATTTTCTTATTTAATTTTCCATATTCGCTTCTTGATTCGGCCTTATGTGCCTAGCACGTGACTCATTTTGACGGAAATTTTAGCGGTGTTTGACGAAATGGACTTTAGCAGTACATTTTAATGAGTTAAGAGATCAATAATCATGAATTTTTAATTAAGAGATCATTATTCTAATTTGGTTAAAGTTGAGAGAGTATTGCCACAATTTTCTCCACATGAAAAAAAAAAAGCAATAACCGTGTAGGACAACGGAGATAAGAAAGCAATCAAAATGATAAAACAATATGACCCACGAAAAATAAAGAGAGAGGAAAAAGAGGAATCTAACTTTCCTTTTGGGCAGAAGGAAGAAGACTTCGTTATGGTCTTTCAACACCTAATTATCGCAGCAAATTGAAGAGCTCTAAAGTAGTCTAGATCTGCTGATCTTAATGATCTATGGAAACAAGTCCCTTCATCTTCATCATCTGAAAACTCCAACGCAGTAAGTTCCTCTTGCAACTATACATGCCAAATCCATTATTTATTTATTTCATTTTTCTTCAAGTTTGTATGCTTAATTAATTATTTTATCAATAACCATCTATATAATCTGTGCACTTTTCAGGCTTAATTATTCCATCGTTCAGTCTGGATTTGTTGATCATAAGTGCAAACAAGTGCCCTCATGACCTGATTGACTCCCATGAAACTGCTTCTTGCTACAGATCATGTCCAATATTCGTGCAAGTTCGAGTCTTGAAACGTAGGATTGCAAGGTAATCCCAAAGCTGCCCATTTATTTGTTCAACATGTTAAAATTTAAGAAAAATAACCATTTATTTGTTCAACATGTTAAAATTTAAGAAAAATAATGTATACTAATATATGATTTTTGCAATCATATATGGTATGTTTTATTATGCTTTATTATTTAAAGAGTAATGCTAGAAAAACTACATATTTATACTATATTAGTGTATCATCTCATATGGCAAGTGGTGGACACAATCAACATCCAGTGAGATAAATTCATAAATTGACGTGACGTGTATACCTCACTTGCCACATTAGATGGTACATAAATGTGACACAAAAATATGTGATCTTCCCAACATTTTCCTATTAAGTAATATTATGTGGTGTGTTTTATTGTGCTTTATACATACAATATCAAGTTTTTTTTATTTTTTATTGGAACATATAATATCAAGTTATTAGATTATTTGGTAGTACTATATTAGGGATTGTATACCTGGCGATACGGTTATTTCACTTTTACTATAAATTTGTATATGATTGTCAACCTTGATCTGAATCCGTCCTGTTGCCATCTCTAGTCCCAAATTGTCACATCTAGAAATGTTTACTAGGAGTCCATTAATTGATTATTTCACTTTTACTATAAATTTGTATATGATTGTGCATGCATCAATAATTAGTTCTCATCATTTTAATTTGCGCAGTTGTGACTATTTCTGAGTCTCGACAGATCAAGCTTCCAAATTTCCAAGGAACTAGTATTTGACTGTTGATCTTCCCTTCGTTGAGTCTGTATTTGTTGATCACAAGCAGAGTTAGATTTGAACTTCCATGTAAGTTCTTATTGTTTATTCGAATAATACATTGGTTGTTTTTCATTTTATTTGAACCACTTTTTATTCATTTGTTTCTTCACTTAATTTGTACAGTTCTGCACCTCAATATTGCTCAAGAGCGATTCGGTCTTTCTTTAACTGCTTGGAGTAATCCTCGCTCTTAATATGGCACTGGGAGAGGTTTTTCTTGCGGCGTTTCTGCAGTTGCTGCTCGACAGGTTGACCCCTCGCGAGATTCTTGAGTACTTGGGAAATTTCCGGGGCGTCGGACAGAAGCTGGAGAAGTGGAGGACGACGTTGTCTACAATCGGAGCGGTGCTCAGCGACGCCGAGGAAAGGCAACTGACTGAAGGTGGTGTGAAACTGTGGCTGGATGATCTCAGAGACCTGGCCTATGATATCGAAGACATGTTGGACAAATTTTCCGTTAAAATGTTGAAGCGCATGATAGAGGGACGTGATCAAGCCAGCACAAGCAGGAAGGTACGGAGATCATTTTATAAAGTTAAATTGAGTTTTGATATGAACTCCGAAATGAAGAAGATTACGAAGCGGTTGCAAGACATATCTGAACGGAAAGATAAGTTTGGCTTGAAAGATATTGGGACGTCTGCTAAGGAATCGCGAAGTCTACCAAGTTCAGACGTGTTAGATGAAAAGCTTGTTGTTGGAAGAGATGGTGACAAAGGGGAGATTATTGAATTGTTGTCAAGAAAATACGAGCATGCAGATGCCGCCAATTTTGGTGTAGTTGCTATAGTTGGCATGCCCGGAGTCGGGAAGACAACACTTGCTCAACTTGTATTCAACCACAAAGATGATGCCATGAAGGAGTTTGAGCTAAAGGTGTGGGTATGTGTGTCTGATGACTTCGATGTTGAACGAGTGACAAAGGCAATTCTTGAATCAATCACATCCCAACCCGTTCAAGTGCAGGAGTTCAGTAAAATTCAGCATGATTTGAGTGAGCAATTAAGAGGAAAAAAGTTTTTAATCGTTTTAGATGATATCTGGAACAAAGATGACTCTGATCTATACGATCTCTGGACAAGACTTCAATCCCCTTTTGGCATCGGAGCAGGAGGAAGTAAGATTATTGTGACAACCCGTGATGTGAATGTTGCAAAGATTATGGGAGCCACTGGAGTTCATAATTTGGAGTGTATGGCAGATGATGATTGTTTGGAAATATTTGAGCGACATGCGTTCAGGGGAATTAATAATGGAAAGCCGGTAAATTATGATTTAATTAAGACAAGAATTGTTGAAAAATGTCGTGGCTTACCATTAGCTGCAAGGACTCTCGGTGGTCTTTTACGTTGCAAAGAAAAAGATGAGTGGGGAGAAATATTGAACAACAAGTTATGGAATCTAGCAGACAAGAGTGGCATTCTCCCCGTACTAAAGTTGAGCTATCACTATCTTCCATCAAATTTGAAGCGGTGTTTTGCATATTGCTCAATACTTCCAAATGACTATGAATTTGGGGAGAAGCAGCTCATTCTTTTGTGGATGGCAGAGGGTTTGATTCAACAAAATCCTGACGACAATAAACAAATAGAGGATTTGGGCCGCGACTACTTTCGAGAGCTATTAGCAAGGTCGCTGTTTCAAGAATCAAGCAAAAACAATTCACGATATGTAATGCATGACCTCGTTAATGATTTAGCACAATGGGCAGCAGGAGAAATATGTTTTAGGTTGGAAGATAAGCAAGGTGATAACTTGCAAAGCACTTGCTTTCGAAGGGCTCGCCATTCGTCTTTCATTGCTGGTCAATTTGATGGAGTTATGCGATTTGAGGACTTTCCAAAAGTTGAACGCTTGCGAACATTCCTGCCACTTTCACTTTCAGATTCCAGGGGATGGGCCAAATATTTGCCTCGTAAGGTTACTTTTGAGCTATTACCACAGTTGCAATACTTACGAGTGCTCTCGTTCAATGGCTACAAAATAACTGAGCTGCCAGAGTCAATCGGTGATTTGAGGTTGTTACAGTATCTTGACCTTTCCTATACATATATAGCCAGTTTGCCTAAATCAACAAGCACTCTTTACCACCTGCAAACATTGATATTGGAAGGTTGTTCTCAAATGAAGTCATTGCCGCGAACATGAGTAATCTAATTAATTTGCGCCATCTCAACAACTCAGATGCATCTTCGTTGAAAGGAATGCCTTCGCAACTAGGTCGATTGACAAATCTACAATCACTGCCTCTTTTTGTGGTGAGCGAAGGAAGTGATCATTCAGGGATAAGAGAGATAGGGCCCCTATTGCATCTCCGAGGGACATTGTGCCTCTCAGGATTGGAGAATGTGACTAATGTCGAGGATGCCAGGAGGGCCAACTTGAAATGCAAGGAGAGGCTTGATTCACTGGTCCTAAAATGGTATTATTCAAGCGACACGAGAGAAACAGAATCCGCTGTGCTTGACATGTTACAGCCTCATACAAAGCTCAAGGAGCTCACCATCAAGGGTTATGCCAGAGAGGAATTTTCATCATGGGTTGGAGGTCCATTGTTCTCTAATATGGTGCTTGTGCGCTTAGAGGAATGTAACAATTGTTTATCCTTGCCACCTCTCGGACAATTGCCTCGTCTCAAAGAGCTTTATATTAGAGGAATGAATGCAGTCGAAAGTGTTGGTGCTGAGTTTTATGGTGAGTGTGTCATGCCTTTTCCGCTGTTAGAGATTCTCAAGTTTGTGAATATGCGGCATTGGAAGGTGTGGCTTCCTTTCCAACTGGATCACGGAAGTGGTGTTTTCCCTTGCCTAAAAAGGCTTTCAATCAAGGAATGTTCTAAGTTGGAAGGAAAACTGCCAGAGAAGCTTGATTTGTTAGCCGAACTTGAAATTGTTCAATGTGAGGAATTGACGGTTTCGATTGCCAACTACAAACAGCTTCGTCAACTAAACATTGACGGTTGTAAAGTGTTGGAACATACAACTGCTAAGGTTGAGTTTGAGTTATTAGAGTCCTTGTGCATTTCAAACATTTCGGAGGTGATGTCTCGGCCAACAGGGGAATTGTTCAGGAAGGGACTAAGCAAGGTTAGAGATTTGAAGATCAATGGATGTGAGAAGTTGACGTCTTCACTGAAGAATGAGGCTAGATTATTGCAGCGGTTGACTTCTCTTGGCCGTTTGGAAGTTAAAGACAACTCTCCTCTAGTTGAAGAATTGGGAGAAGAAGCAGAGGAGTTGCTGCAATTGCAAATATTGGATTGCAAGCTTGAATTTCTAGAGTTAAGAAAGTGCGAAAATCTTTTGAAGCTACCAAAAGGGTTAAATCAGCTGTCGTCTCTTCAAGAGCTTCGCATACACGAATGTTCAAGTCTAGTTTCTTTTCCAGATGTTGGTCTGCCACCTTCTCTTAAAGACATCTGGATTGCAGAGTGCAATTCGTTGATATATTTTGCAAAATTCCAGATTCCCCAAAATCTCAGAAGAATAGAGATAATATATTGCAAAAGTTTGAAATCACTAGTAGATGAGGAGGAATGTGAACGACTGGGTTTAATAGCACCGAACGGGTTCTTCAGCAACAACACCTATCACTGCCTTGAATATATTAGGATCTGTAGCTGCCAAAATCTGAAATCCTTACCGGATGGCTTATGCCACCTCAGCAATCTTCAAGAGCTATGTATTATAAAATGTGGAAGTCTTGTTTCCATCCCGAGACTGAGTGGGGGGAGAAGACCCTCCAACCTGAGAAATATCTTGATCCGAGATTGCGAGAAATTGGAGGCGTTGCCCGAAGACATGCACAATCTCAACTCTCTTGAGAGTTTGTTCATCGACTACCGTGAAGGTTTGACTTTTCCTCCCAACCTAACATTTCTTCGAATTTGGGAGGTCAAGAGCTGTAAGTCATTGTGGGAGTTGGAGTGGGGGTTGCACAGACTCACCTCTCTTAGACGCTTAGAGATTATCGGTGAAGACCCGGATACGGTGTCGTTTCCACCCGACATGGTACGGATGGAGACGCTCTTCCCCAAATCTCTCACTAGCCTCTCAATAGATGGCTTCCCGAATCTGAAGAAACTGAGCAGCAAGGGCTTTCAATTCCTCCCCTCCCTTCAATCTTTGAAACTCTCCTATTGTCCAAAGCTAGCATCCATTCCAGAGGAGGGTCTGCCTCCTTCACTTACGAAACTTTGGATCTATGAGTGTCCAGTGCTAAAAGAGAGATGCCAACCAGGAAAAGGACGCTACTGGCACAAAATATCCCACATCCCTTGCATACAGATAGATGGCACACTGATATGAAGCTGATGGTCCAGGTATCATCTCTCGAGGAATGTTTTAATATTAATATTATTATTATTATTAATCATCTTTATTCTTTATTTTTTGGGTAATTAATCATCTTTATTCTTGTAAAGTAAAGTAATCCACATATTTTGGGTTGGGTCAAGGTTTTGGGGGTTGAGGAGTGGCTGCTTTGGGAGGTCTTCAATTGGCTGACAACCTGGATATTTCTTGGCCAACATTTCTTCTCCCGGATTCCTATATTTGCTTTTTTTTTTTTGGTAAACGATTGCTATGTTTGCTTGGCCCCTTTTCACTGATTTGTATTATAACTTTGTAAATCAGGCCACTTTCACCTAATGTTTTATTTTATTTTAGCAAATTTTGACTTATGAGCTAGTAATGCATTTTATTTAATGCATCGAGAATAAGCAATCAACAAAGAAATGGAAATGCAAATGATGACCACTAAATGACTTCCTTTACCATAACTTGTCTTCCTGAAAGTAGATAATATGTGCCAACAAATTTTGGTCAATCAAATCCTTATACCAAGCTTTCGTTACTTATTCAAAAAGTGCATTATTCATCTAATTGATATGTAATAAATTGGTGACGGTTATACGTTTTAACTGAGTTCTAAGGAAAATTGAGGGTAGTAATACATCAGTACTAAAACGTGAATTTGTGAAAAACTGGTTCGATTTTATTCGTGGATTTTATGTGGGATGGTGATTGTCCAATTTTCCATTTTTTATTTGACTCTCAATTTCATTCCAAACGCACAAACCACGTCAGGGCTGACGCCGACTTAACGGCGATCCGAATCATCTTTTCGTTCCCGTCAGCAAAATAACGCCGTTCATCCCGAAACAAAAATCGTTAAAGCCTCATATTCTTTCCCAGATTTCATAATGCAATTATAGGCCCATTTCTGGCCCAACGTCTCTCTCTCTGCTTTCCGAGTCATTTCATTTTTCCCGAAAAATAAAAAAGTTCTTTCCCTTTTGATCGAATTCATGTCGGTACGTAATCTCTTTCTTCAATCCGAATATAAATTCTTAACCTTTGTATGGCTTTATTTGTTTTTGGTTTAAATTTAATCTTTGCGATGCTTATTTGCTGGATTTCTGATTGGATTGAGCTCTAATTCATTTAGATTTATTCATTAATTTCTATTGACTTGATTGTAATTCTCTCAGATGCATTGGTTTTATATTAATTTCTTAGCAAAATTCATGTTTTTAGTATTAATTTTTATGTTTTTCTCATTATTAAAGTAAATACATATACTTGATGCAAAATTTGGATTCTTCAGAGGAGCAGATTATAGTTTTTCAGTTTGATTTATAGTTTTGCTTAATTAGGAATTTAGTGAAAATGAAAATGAACAGAAAAGGGTTAGTGAGAAAATGACAAGTTTTCTTCGTGTTTATTACAAAATTAGTAAGTTGAAAATTTTGAGAGTATATTGCTCCCTTCGCCCATGAGTGGTAGGTCTCGGGTTCGAGATTTGGGAGCAGCCTCTCCATAAATGGGGGTAAGGCTAGCTGACATTCACCTCTTCCAGACCCTGCGTAAAGCGAGAGCCTTGTGCACTGGGTACGACCTTTTTTATTGCTTCTTGGAGCAGGTATTGTTTCGAGAGTGTGAATCCCATGTCAGGAATTGAAGCGTTACATAAATAGTTTGAATGATCTTGGGAGTCTCCACCCGTTGCCTATTGGTTTCTGGTTGGATGCTCAATTTGTAATAGAATAAAAGGTATTGTTAATTTTTATTATCTTTCATTGTTTGAGTGGATTGCTTCCTGATGGTGTTTATGACTGGTTTCTGTATCTACTTTTAATCCTTAGTACATTAAGGACATTGCGTACTTCCTAAATTCTCATGGTCAAGTTTTTGTATGGTTCTGTATGTACGTATGTGATCTTCATCCCGACTTTGAATGCATAAACTAGCTGGATGAAGAGGTTTTGTTGTTATTACCTTGCCCAAAACAAGGATTTCATTTAGGGCTAAGTAGATTTCTTTTAACTGGGTTCTTATGTCGTCGGGGAAGGTTAGAGTTCTTTATCCTTTTTTGTATTTCAGTCAATTGGTGTATCTTTCGACATATGTGCTAAGTGCTTCGTGAAAATGGATTTATGTTGTCTAAATAGTTGTGTTTCAGTTGCCTTTTCTGATCTTCTTCCTCCCTGTCTAATATCTATTTTCTATCCTTTTCATAGGACATTACCTCCATGGTATGCTGGTTGCTTTATGTTTATATATTATCGTAATATTAGTTGTTGATACACAAAATTAGTGAGGACTTTGGTACAGCAGAAAGTGTTAAGTTTGTGACCTTCGCTAGATTGCTCCGATCACTAGTGTGGATAAGTATGTAAATGGATAGAGACAAGGAAGCAAACACAAGATGTACGTGGTTCACCCAGATTGGCTACGTCCACGGAGTAGAGGAATTCTCATTAATTGTGAAGGGTTTACACAAGTACATAGGTTCAAGCTCTCCTTTTGTGAGTACTAGTGAATGATTTAGTACAAATGACATTAGGAAATATTATGAGAGAATGATCTTTATTTATAGAAGAGAGTTTCTAGTTTCATTCTGACATTGACACATGTCGTGTTATGATTGGCTTCTGATGTTGACACGTGTCGTGCTATGATTGGCTTCTGATGTCGACACGTGTCGCGCTGTGATTGGCCTCCTGGTTTGAGGGAAACTCTTCTGGGTCCTTAACTGTATAACGTTGATCGGTGCTCAATAGTTTTGGGATTGGTCAAGTATGGTACAAACATTAGTCTTCAAACCTGTAAGCGACCAACATTCTGTTAGAGCAATACCATTTTGTTTTTCCACTAATCCACATGAGATGAAACCCAAACATGTCAAAAAAATTTGTGCCTTTCAACACAGTCAACACATGGATTAGTCCATTGACATTTAGCTTAATGAACCATTGTTCTTTACAACATGGCTGCAATTTTTATATACAAACATTAGTCTTTTACCACAAATTTTCAAGATTGTCTGCGTGTTCACCAATAACACAAAGGCTTCCAAAATTCCAACGACCCCTTTAATTTCTTCTCAAAAATTCAAAATCCATTTTAATCCAAACTGGAAAAAAGCAAAACCTTAAAAAAGCACATGCAAATAATTCTAAACTAATGTTTCCTCTCCTCCTCTTCGTGTTTGTAACCCCCTGCAGCATAAAACCCAGAAAAACAAACCTTCACACAACCTCAACAACTCCTCTCATCAAAAACTACGAATCCATTTAAATCCAAGAATTACCAATCCATGTCCGAATCGGAAAAAAAGCAGAAGCGCAAAAAAACCCAAAAAATTACGGCAACGTTGCAAATAGCAGCAAATCAGAGATTTGCCAACTGAAGAACAAAAACGCAAAATTCTCCTTTAACAGGGAAAACCCAAGAGAGCACCACAATTGACAATAAAAGGAAACGATTAAGGTTTCATCAAAACAAAGGAAAAACCAAAAATAAAAACCAAAAGAAAATGATTATAAAAGAGGTGTAAATCGGCCTAAAACCCAGCCACAACCCAGAAATCCCAAACGGAAAAAGGGGAAACAACAGGAATCCTTTACCCCAATTAGAGATGTCGAAACCCTCGGAAAGCAAAAAATCCCAAATCTAAATAGACGCACTACGGCTCGGCAACCACAAAATCCCTTAAACCACGAAAATCAGCAACCCTTTCCGCGAAAGAAAGGACGGATATCGCAGGGAAACAGAGGATTGGAAGAAAGAACGGCCAAAACGAAAAGAGCAAAAGCCGAAATCAGGAAAAGCAACGAAGGAACAAAACCCTAACTCGTTAAGAAGACTCTCAAAGTCGAGAGAAAAAGATGAGCAACGCGTGGAAAACAGGGACACAAACGGAAAGAAAACAGAGAAGCGAGGGCAGTTCCGTCCGGACACTGGTGATCTACAGTGCCGGGGGAAACTCATGTTTAGTATATACTAGATATTAGGCCCGTGCATTTCCGCGGGAACTAGTTGTTTCAAGCGTAATCGAATGAATAAAACACATTTAAGTTGAATAAATTCAACACAATTATGAACAAACAAAGGGATAAATGAATGAATGAGGTTGATAAGATAATCAATTTTGTTTTTATATATATTCAGGTGAGCTACCATATAAATACATTGTACAATGAGTAGGAAGAAACTGAATGTCTTTGATTAGAAAGAGATGGTTACCCAAAAAGTTCTGTTTCCTTTAGAAACAGAACAAACATATAGTTCACAGTCCTGCAATGTAGGCAACCATTTCAACTGGTAATTGAAAACAGAAAGTGTTGAGGACTTGTTCAAGTAGCTAATTTTGTAACCACAACTGTTCAAATGCAAAAATAAGCAGAAGGTCTGTTTCCATACAAAACTGAAGAAACAGAAGCAAGCTGCAGTTTACACATATTTTGCCCCTGTAGTTAAGACCGCAAAATATATGCCCTGCAGCCTACATACCTCACGTAGGAATTAGCAAACCACAGAAAAAGCGGTGTTTAAGCAGGTAAGTCGTCAAGCATAGATGTTCAAACAAAAAAATATGCAGCATGGTGTGCAGTATTCGATGACGGAGAGCATGGCTATTCACTTTTTCTGAGACCGGACATCTTCGACACTATAGCAAAAACATAAATCATAATGTAACAAAGGCAGCCATTATGGACGCTATTCAGGCATGCGTTGATACTCATAATTGTGTTCACTTATCCATATTATATTTGAATATGAATGAGGATAAATGGTTGATACTTATAACTGTGTTCACTTATTCATAATAAAATTTAAAAGGATTCCAATTCAATAAACCACATATCCAAATCAATTCAAACTAAATATCTAATATTCAATCACATATTCAATTCAAACTACATGGTTAATATTCAATTAGATGTTCAATTAGAAAATGATGACGCATGGGTCTTCACCGACTCAATTTCATTTATACAGAGTGCTTCCCCCCTTTCTTCACT